CTGGGCCTTCACCATCAGCAAATAAACCAACAGCCTCGTGGATTCTACAGGAACAAAAGTTGGGAAAGCTGATCCAATTAAAAGACACTTTAGGCCCTCCCTGGTGGCGCGGTGGGTTAAAGCACAGCACTGAGAAGCTAAAGCCACTTCCCTTCCGCATGAGTTCGATCCCCGCCTGCCCCGGAGGTGACCACATGGCGTGGCAGACCTCTCCTGACCCGCCCACTGCTCCCCTCAGCAGTGTACTTCGTAGACCTGCCTGTTCTGCTCCCCACTCTGTCTCTGGTGAATCCTCTCACCCTCCGCATCTCTGGCCTGTACCCCAGTTCTGTACGAATAAATAAATAAATCTTAAAAAAAAAAAAGACACTTTAAATGTCAAGTGCCCCAGGGAGATGGGGCACAATAGAACCCTCATTATGGATCGTGCCTCACCGGGTGCACAGGGGTAGACTGCACTCACCCCGGAGCATGATGGAGCTTTCACCGGATGGAGCAGTGGCAAGAAAAATCACGTCAGCCTCCCACAGAGCCTCCTGGCAGGGCAGGCCGACTGTCCACACGTCTGCGGAAAAGCCTCCGTCTGGCATTTTTATTTAAAGAACGTTGTTTTATCTGGGAGTATTTAAAGTGAGGTGTTAAAAGCATCTATTCCGGTAACTTATATAAAAATATTCATAGAGGGGAAACACACCCTCCTTGACAAAGCATCTTGATCCTCCCTTTTAACTCGAGGAAAGCACAGCTCTCTGCCCCCAGGAAGTGGGCTTCCCAGAGCAGACTTAATTAAATTTGAAGGCAATTAAAACCAAGAGTTGCGTGAAGTCGCAAAAGATGGAAACAAATTACTGTCAAATAGGAAGTGGAGAGGAAGGAGAAAGGCAATGATAAGACTCAACTGGGGTGCTGGGCTCTCGGCGCCCCCAGCCGAGGCTGTGACCCACCACACAGACTGGTCTCTTCACTTTGTTTTCTTGTCCCCTTGACATCTCCTACATCTTCGTCTCAACTTAACTACCACGGCGGGACCGTACTCCATACTACAGTAAAGCTGTAACAAAATCAATGAAAAACACTTTTTTTTAAAAAGGTGATTGCGAATGAAAAGGACAGTTAACATGAAGTCGAGCTTCTTCACAACGCTGAAGTGTGCTGCCGTGGGGCAGGGCTGTTCAGCAGGCTCTGGACCTCGTTCATCTTCCTTGGCTGACACTTGTTGCCCCAGGATCAGTAAATCCCCACTTCTGCCCCGGCTCCCCCGGTCCCTCGTAACTACCATGCTAGGCTTTGATTTTATGAATCAGATGCCTGTATAAGTGGAATCATGGAGTACTTGGCTTTTCTGTGTCTGGCTTATTTCACTTAGAAGAAGGTCCTCAAGTCCCGTAAAAACAAGCCTTTAAAGAAAACTTCTTTGTTAAAATTAAAACAACTTATAACATAAAATATTTACATTTCTAACATTCTCTCTCCTAGAAGGACAATGTTGACTCTTGGGTCTCTCTGTGTTAGTACAGATCTCAGAAAAAAAATGTTTAAAATTCAAGTGTAAAATAGATGGTGAATCTAATAATAAACAGCAGTTGGAGAGTGGATCGGTTCATCATCATTTAAGGGATGATAAAATTCACTTATAGCTTAAAAAGATAATAAATTCTATCAGTTCTACTGAAGGGGGAGGACTGACGGTAAGATCCAGTGGTAAGAGCACTGTGTATTATCCTGAGTATCCAGGATCCACTAAAACCGCTTAAACTCAGCACAAGAGCCAAATCTAATATTTGCCATGGAATTTGATGGAAACACAGGAAGTAATTTCTCTGTTCTTGCATGCGAAGAAATCCTTATTTTCTTCCAGCAGCCATTAATTCCACAAGAGAACAAGCTCAGTCTTGATATCTAATTGCAAACAACGGATGCATTCAAGTTCATTTATATAGATATTAAGTAAAATATAAAAACTCTGTATTTTCTGAATAATATGAAAGATACGTCTGGATATTTATAATCACATTTCTTTGAGTGGACTTTGAGCTACAGTCTTTCTAAATTTAAACTCACCAAATCTGTCTTTCAATATATGCCAAAGTACGCAAAAGGATTTCTTTTCAACCTTTGTGGGGAGCAGCAATCAGAAACAAATTACCTCTAACTTCAAAAGCTCCACACCAACAACTTTCAATTTCCATTATTGAAAACACTGGGCTTCGTCAGTAACTTCATTCACCCACACAGCACACATGGCCACAGCTCCTGGCCTGCGGTGTGGGTAAAACACTGAGCAGAGACCCCAGGGGCTCCAATACGTGTCCCTTGGCTTCCACTTTCTCACCTGGGAGATACAGGTATTGACAGGTGGTCTCTGAGTTCTTTGACTCCAACTCTTTTACAGTTTGTATGCCTGGGATTTCACATGAATCTTTATTGCTCAAAAATGTGCAAGAGCTCCCAGGATCCAGGCTTGGATTTCTCAGAACAGGTAGGGCCCATTTCTGAGCGTGTTTTCCCCTGGGAGCCGAGTTCGCAGCTGTTCTTTCTCATCTTCACCTGTTGAAATCTGACTCATTCTCCGAGGCCAGTGTGTGCTGGCAGGCTTCTCAATTCCTCAACCATTTTCTCCCAGAACATCCAAAGTGTTTGCTTCTATATTTTTAGCTACCCGCCTGTCTGTCTACGTATCTGGACACAGTCCATGTATTCTATTAAAATTTTCTTCTTCAAGGAAGAAAGCGCCTGTCCACAGCTGCCTCACTGCCCTAGCAGAGGGGTCCTCTGGCCTCGTCGGGCTGCCGGTGGGCTCCCAGCTCCCCTCCCCAGCGCTCCTCTAGGCCACGTGACCCTGGCTTTCCTCCTTCCTGTGGGCGGGGGCCAGCCTGCAGCTTCCCTGCAGTGCAAATGTCCCATCCTCCCCGCACTGATGTTCCCATGAGGTCAAAGTGGGAAACCGCAGCAAGGAGGCAGCGTTTGCTCCAGTGTGGGGCCACTGCACAGGGCCTAGGGAAAAGCCCAGAAACCACCTTTTTAAAGTCAGGAATCGATAAGCTGCCCGAAGCATCACATTCTGTTGACTTGTACTTCCAGATATCATTAACTAGGGGACTTGGATCAATATGGCCAAGAAGGAAGATCAGGTTCTGGAGAACTTATGCAACAGTCCTCCTGGGGCCGCTGGTCTGTGCAGCGGCGTGCTCGCCTTCTCAGGCTCCTGAGAACTCACTGTGCCAGCAGACGAAAGGCCCTGAGAAGTCCTGCGGTAAGACGTCTGATGAATTGTCTTCTGACCAGTATTTCCTCAAATTACTTCACCGGGAACCCTTTTCTCCCATGTGACATTTACCGACATCCTAAGACACCAAGGTTCCTCCGAACGCGGGGTGGGAAATGCTGACTGATGTTTCGTCTTCCCCAGTGTTGCATTAACCCCCATCAAGTGCAGCTTTCGCAGCAATTTATACAACAGCCCCAAGGGTTTCTGTGACAGCTCACAACGCCAGACCTGTTTGTCCTGACCACACAGGCCACAGAGAGACCTTGTGTCTATGGTCTCAGCCCCACTGGTGAGGGGGAGGTGGCAGGCGAGGCCCCCAGCCCTGGGCACCTGCACAGTGAGAGTGCACAGGCTGTTGGGGAGACCCACACCCCCGCTAAATCCCAACAGGCTGGGGAGGGGTTCATACCCACAGGCAGGACTAAGCTCGAGCTCACACAACCATCGCATGTACCTGTAAAGGTGCTGTGACCCTCAGATGTCTCCTTCAGCGCTACGACGGATCCTGAATACAGTAAACGCCGCTGTGTTAGGCCAGCTACCCCGCAAGTGCAAAGGGGAGCCATTCCAGGCGCCCCCGCAGCCCTCACTACTGTCAGGCTGACCAGCAGCCATAATGTCTTGGTGCCGCTGCTGGAAGGGACGAGGCCCAAGGAAGGCCACGGGAGGGGAACACCTGCCCTTTCTGGGACTTAGAAGTTATTTTTTTTTTAAAGTGAAATTTCTCATCTTTACCAGCTTGAAAAGTGAAAACAAAATAAAAATAGGGAAGCAATGGTTGGCTGCAGGGGAAGGAAAGAATGCTCTCAACTCTCCATGTGTGGAAAATGCAGAATCCTTTAAAACCAACCTGGATAGAGTTCTTGAAAAAGCTAACTGCTGGCCCTCCCTGGTGGCATAACGGGTTAGGACACAGCACTGCAAGCTGGCCGTGACCGCTTCAGTGCCAGTTCAGTCTCCGGTCCCAGAGGTGACCCACATGGCGCAGCAGACCTCTCCTGACCCACCCGCTGCTCCCCTTAGCAGCGTACTTCGTCGATCTGCCTGTTCTGCTCCCCACTCTGGTGAAGCCTCTCCCTGGTGAAGCCTCTCCCTGGCCCTGCACCTCTGGCCTGTACCCCAGTTCTGCATGCATGGATAAATACATCTTGAAAGAAAGAAAGTAAAAGCTCACTGCTATTCAGTCCATCCAACTGAAGCAAGTGTGTCAGCCCCACTTTCTAAAACCACCACCACGAGGTCGGGGGAGGGGTCTTTCCAACACAGGTAAGTGAAGCATGAGCTAGGACCGCACACCCTGGCCAGTGTTCCTGGACTTTTCTGGGTACCGTAAGGAACATGGGGTAACTCAGTCTCCTTCTCCTCCTGCCACCAGCTTCCGCGGCCACCACCTTAGGCTTTGTTTTCCTCCCAGGTCTCATCACCCACGTGTGACACCGCGTGCAAGAATGTGCTTGGGAGTGCGGGAGGACACCCGGGCCGGTACGGGGAGATCAGGGGTCACAAGGGATGTCAGGGGAGCTCACAGAGACCAGCAGGCTTGCTCATTGCCCCCTGCCTGCTGGTCTGCCTGTGTCCCCTGTTCAGCAGTAGAGGCATGTAAGGTGTGCCTGAGGCTCCAAGATCTCTTCCCGCACCAACAGGGAACCTGCCTGGCCTGGGACAGTTGCACAACAGGTACCGTCTCGAGACCCCTTCCTCACCAGGGTCAAGAGCACGAAGAACCACTCACCGTGTCGTAAGTCGTCACGATCTTCTTAAGAACCTCGGGCACGATTCCCTGCAGCTCCATGGTGGGGTACTGCTCACTGAGGTTCAGGACCACCAGTGGTGTGCTGTCAGGTCCCAGAAAGCGGGGAGACACAGCCAGCATGCACTGCATGAGGTTGGCCACAGAGGAGAGGCCACACAGCTCCTTGAAGGACACCACTGCATTCTGTTAAATGGAAAGAGAGGGGCCCTCTGCAGTTAACGGGGGGTTTGCACTTCTCGTGGCTATTACACTTGATCATCCTTCTACTGCCCAGCACAACAGTTACTAGCCATATAACAAGAGCGTTGGCTAGAGCTTATTTTAGCCTGGGAAAAAGGGCTATTTTCTAAAGTAAACATAGTTATAGACATTTGTAAACCTGATTTATCAAAAGCACAGAAAATGCAAATAAGTTAAATTCTTCTGAAGGGCCAAGACTCCTTTCGGGTCAAGGTTCAGAGCAGCGCTCATGTGGATATGCAGTTGAGCAAACAGAAAAATGGCTCTGCCTTCCATGCTCTGCGTTAAAATGACTATCAAGTAGGCCGGCCTCCAGAAAGGAGGGGCTCATCTGTGAGTGGAAGCCGCCAGTCTCGCTTACCTGCTTTCACCCGCTGGTTCCAAATCTAACGGCACTCTGGAGGACCCTGCTGTCTGGCGGTGGGCTCTGCCCAGCAGGCGACTGACCGCAGTTACCCATGACCTGCCGTGGTTGCCATGGTTACCCACCACCTGCTCTGTGTCTCGCCCAGGATCTCAAGGCTCCTCATCCTCCTCCTCCTCCTCCTCCTCTATCTTGCTAATCACCAGAGGCATGCCATGAACATTCCCATTTAAGGAAAGCTCTGGATCCCCAAGTGCCCTGAGCTGGCATTCTCTGAGCCGTCGGCTGCAGTGGCCCTGTTCTCCACACAGGAGCACACGTCATGCTCTCAGAAGCTTTGTCTGTGGATTCGGACATGGGGCCTGCGTGATTTCTCTCTGTTTGCAGTCACACAGCTAGTCAGCGTGGGAATCGGGGTTTCACCAGAATCTGCTACTGTTGAGGGCGCTGCCAAACAGGAATCTAGCATGTTACTCTGGGCCCACCTGGGCTGGGCACAGCTGTCCTCCAGGGGTTGAGGTATCAAGTCCCCTGAGTTCCCCGCCTTCTACTGTCCAAGACCCAGGCTCTCAAATGAGCAGCATTTCAGTTTTAAGTATAAACATTTTCTTGTCATTAAAGTTGCTTTGAACATGGGCATCAAACCATAGATAGCTTTATTCAAAGTCACTTGGACACTGACAGCTTACAACATGAAGTCATCAGTGGAGTATCTAAAGTGGATTCCCCAGTCCCCAGCTACTCTCCCACCTCCCTGTTTAGTCCCCCCCTCTCCCCCCCAGCATGCACTGGTACCTGCAGTGCCCCAATCTGCTGATGCACCTGCTCTAGGCTCCTCTTTGGGGCAATCCAAGTGCAAGCCCCTCCTCCCGAGGGACAGGCAATGCTGCAAGACCACTGCTGCCCCCTCTGGCCCAGAGGGCCCATGAGAGGCAGGCAGACGCTCCCTGCACTCAGCACACCACCCCTCCGCGCTGGTTCTGTGGGGTTCAGCGCAGTCTCCAAGCTCTGGAAAAGATGATGCTGATGCTCTGGTCGCTCCTCCAGGGGACTGTGTCTCACACACCACAGCAGCCTCCCAGCAGGGCAGACTGCTTGCTCAGGATTTACCGTGCCACCCCTTCCCTCAGAAACAGGCCCTCACATTTCTGCTATGCTCTGCGAGAAAGAAATCAAATCTCGCTTTTATGAAGACCGTATCCATAGGCCAGGTGGACAGGTAAAGTAGGCTGACCTTTCGGAGTCGGATTCCACCCGGGGGTGGGTCCTACACCACCGTCGCGGCGGGGGCCGGCTGCCCTGCTGCCCAGCTCTGGCGCACTGGCCGCCACGGGCAGACGGCTGGACTGGCAAACGATCGTTAATTACACACATGATTCCTAACTGAGTGCTTTTAGTCATTACGGAGTTCAGAGGTAATTATTATCATTGACTCCTAATAAACACACCACACGTCTTTTACTTAAACAATTAAGTAGCTGTCCTCTAAAATCAAGGACTCGATATGCAAAGCGCCGGCTCATTTAAGCGGACACTACTTCCCGGCACTGCTGGCGCCCACGGGAAGAACCGTGCGTGTCGCTCGGGCCGCGGCGTGTGCGGCAGCCGACTGGCAGTCAGAGATCCCCGAGCGTCCCACGTGCGGCAGACCACTGAAGCGTCGTGATGAGGCTGTGCAGACAGCAACAAGACTACAGTCTCCTAACACGTTCGATGCTTTCAACATCGACTCGTCTGGGAAACGCACATGATTAAAAAAGGCGGCGAGCTGTAAACACTCTAATAACCAAATGGGATTTGCCAACGATTTAAAGTCAAGTGCACCGCTGAGGAATCCATCGCGCGGCCACACACGCGCCTGCACTCACGAGCACCGCGCGCGCGAGGGGCCGCCCGCGGAGCCGACACCCACCAGCGCCTACCTGCATGTTCTCTCGCAGGTCGGTGGCGTCCCGGATGGGGGGCTGGGCGTTCTTGAACACCTCGTCCACGGTTTTAATCCACAGCGTTCTCAAAGACGCATACTCCCTGGATTTCTTCCCTTTTCTCACCGAGAGGCCCCTTTTATGGGGCTTCCCTCCCCCTCTTCGGTTAGTGATGGCCACGTGGACGAACAGAGACGCGTGGGCGAGGACCTCCCCGGTCAGCGACTGCAGGGGCACGTGGCGGTAGCCGGTCTGTAAACACTCAAAGGGGATGGTGTACTGGCCGATGAATTCGTCCCCGATGTAGTCGTCGTCCAGCACCACGAAGCGCACCATGGCCAGCTCCGGCAGGTTGATCTGGAACTCGAAGCTCTCGTCGAAGATGGGCGCGTCTCCGTTCTGGTGCACCGTCTTCGTCCTCTGCTCCGCACAGTCGGCGGGGATGCCGTGGATTTCAACGTAGACATAGGGGTCCACCACGTCGCCTTTGGCACCGGATCCTTTGGGTTTGGGGAAGTTCTGCCCGCTGATGATCTTAATGTGCAGGAGCTGCGGGGAGACGCCGGGGACCGAGTCCTTGGTGTTGGCGCTGAAGAAGGAGACCTCCTCCCTCATGATGGCTGGCCGCAGGACGTAGCCGCAGTTGCCGTTCTGCTTGAACCAGCCGACATTCAGGTCCATCATCAGTCCCGGCGTCTGGAAGTTCATGGCTACGATCTGACAACCACATTTCCAAAAATCTTGGGGGTTCATGTTGCTGGAATCAATTCTCATGGGACTCGGGAAGACCCTGGCCAGAAAGCGTTTGTTGTAATTGACAAAGTCCCCTGGGTTTTCGTTGGCATACTTGCTGGCCAGCACTTCGTTAAAGGAGCAGACCTCCCAGTACTTCTGCACCTGAAACGACACCTGGAACTCCTTGAACTGGACCGACTTGCAGATGCTGACCAGCTCGGACAGTTCCTTGCAGAGCTGGAACCGCTTCACGGGCACGTTGTTGGCTTGCTCCACGGTCTCCTTCCCCACCCTCTGGGACATCTCCGCGCCCTCGTCTTCGTCCGTCACGTCCCCTTCGACCCCAGAACAGCTGGAGGACAGCTTCTTGGCTTTGATGAGGATCTTCCCTTTCAGGACATCTGGGGAGGGCAGGTAGGACTCCTCCACGTTGGGAGATGTGGTGTACAGCTTGTCTCCCAGAATCTTCTTCATGTGTTGGACCATGGCCTTCTGTTGCTTAATAGAACAGTGGTTTTCTAGACACAAGATGAGAGGGTACTCGGAGGCAAAGAAGGCGTACTTGTTGATGATGTCAATGACGCTGCGGAACACAATCTGGGAGGTCATCGTGTGGCCTGTGTAGATCACGGGCTCGTTGTCCGGCCCGTCCCAGACATCTAACTCCACGCTCCGGCAGCCCATCTTAAGAGCCCGGATGTACCCTGTGATATCAGAGGGTCCTCGGAACTGGTCCTCTATTAAGTACGTGTTATGAGATGAGTTTATAAAGTAATGAGACAAGGGCTGCTTCATGTCCTGACAGACCTTCTTATGTTCCGGGTCAAACAGGTAGCAGTCGGGAGACATCAGGTAATTCGTGAAGCCGTCGATGGAGAGCCAGCCCTTCTCGTGGCCCTCTTTGGACGGCTCGTATTTGTGAATGATTTCAAGGCTTATTTCCTCATTGATATGCGCCACCCCTTGCTCTGCCTCCAGGAACATCATAAGGTCCTTGGTGTCAAGGAATTCTTTATTGCTGGAAAACTGAACTAAAAGGAAATAAATTTCAGGCCTAGTACAAAGCTCATGGAAAACCTCCACGAACTCTTCCTTTGTGACTTCAGCGCCACCTTTGTCCTTGGATTTGTGCAATTCTTTGAACTTAAGCTCAATTTTGCTAATTTTTAAACCAGGATTGAGGTTTCTGATACACTGCACAGCGTTGCACAGAGTGATATGTCCCAGGTTATCTACATCAATTTCACCAAACATCTGTGACACCCAAGAAGTCCTCATGTTGTCTTGGCTACTTTCTAACATGTCAAGTGTGTGTTTTCCATAAGAAATGAGGTACCGCAGTCCCGTTACCCAGATGTTCGCCACATCAGCCGAGAGGGCGACCAGATCGAGGGACTCGTAATTCTCCCCATAGATGACGGAGAAGGCACAGTCTTCGGAGATCTGGTCAGAGATGCCGTTGCTGCGGAATATGTCTGTGTTCTTCCCCGTTCTCACTTCCTTGATGGACTTGATGTCAATCTTGGCTTTCTCAGAATCCTTCTTCGACGGTTCCCACCTCAGACTCTGCATGTCAGCGTCCAGTAAAAAATACCTATGGTAAATTCTAGAGTTGGAGCGAACCTTTCTGAGTTCTGAGCCCTCAACCATGGAGTTGATACAGTCGCTTGCGCTGCTGATCTTCTTCTCCGTCGGCATGCTGCTGAAGGAGACGGTCTTCTTCCGTTCTCTTTTCTGTTTGGTGCCATCCTGGGTAGGAAAGTAAAAAAAGTGCATTAGAATAAGAGGAAAGTTATTATTGCATATAATAGGTGAAGTCTTGATATATCAGAGTAGGAATAAGGATTTAATTTCCTTTGGGAATTCCTAGTCTGTGTCCTATGATCAGTGATGCTCATTCACTTCTAAAGCTTGTCAGTGGCTTAGACTTTCCAGGCTAACATAAACAGGTAGGAAATCATTTCAATCCATGAATGTCAAGAAAAAACAACTTCAGTAACACACAGTAAAACCTTGTACAGAGCACTGGCTACATAATTTGCAATGCTCAAGGGAATGAAAATGCGGAGTTCCTTGTTCAAAAATTAAGACTTTCAAGAAGACAATGAGAGGCGCAGCATCATGGCAAGGACAAGGTCCTCCTGAGCACGGGGCCTGCACAGCTGCCCTCAGGGGTCGAGCCCTGCCTGTACAGACACCCCCCACACCAGTGCTTCTCAAGGCACAGGCCACTTGCCTCAGAATCACCTGGGCTGTCTGTCTGCAGGCTCCCAGGCTGGTAGAACAGGCGTATAGGGAGTGGTGCCCAGGAACTGCATTTAGGCAAAGCTATAGGTTATGGGAATGTAGTAAAGTGTGAAAAAAATCACTTACTGACCACTTGGGATTTATTAGGCTCTGTGCTATTTCTGGAAACCATTATCTACCAAATGACCAGACAGCTAAGTACAAACCACTGACATAGGTTAAATGAGTAGATAAGTCTCAAGTTAGAGGAGTCATTATCCAAAACACCCCTGATAAGCCCTCCCTGATGGTGCAGGGGTTAAAGTCTCAACACTATCAAGATGTCTCCAGCCACTGCAGCAGGACTTTGATCCCTGGCCACGGAGCTGACCCACATGGCACAACAGACCTCTCCTGTCTCACCCACTGCTCCCCTCAAGAGTGCATTGCAGTCACTCTGCCTGTTCTGTTCCCCATGCTGTCTCTGGTAAATCCTCTCACCTCCACACCTCTGGCCTAAAACCCCAGTTCTTACGTGCATAAATAAAGTAAATCTTTTAAAAAAAAATACCTCAGGTAGATACAATTTTACTGCTGCATTGTATGATATCTGGGTAAGGGCTCAAGATTATATTCAGAGACACATTTATTATTATTGATTAGTGCTAGAGAACAATGTTGCCTAATGCCAATATTCCAGAACACTCCAGGACAATACTACCATCTGCAAACCTTCAGTCAGTGTTTACTTAGTCTAAAGAAGTCTTCTGCACCAATAATTTATTGTGCACCAATAACTCACTTTCCCACATAATAAAATACATGCCCACCTTAGGCGCCAGACTATCTCGGCTTAAGTGCTTTCTTTCCCTGTACAGATGCCTTTATTATTATTAAAAACAAAACAAAATAACTTTAAAGACCTCATGACATCTTTTACAATTTTAACCTAAAACATGACATCTTTTGGGAGGGCTAAAAAAATGTGACACATTCTCACAAAGTTATTATATTCATAAATAAAGGAGACGGTGGGGTGGGTTGTACGGCTTTCATGGCAATAAGGAAAAGGACGTGCAAAATGTTACACAAAAGTCATTCTGATTTTCTTGCTCTAGAGAGAATCTATTTTGAATAAAACCTTCCTATTTCAAAAAGTGATTATGCTATTCTCTGCCTGAAATTGAAAACCACTTTTACTTTTTGACTACCTATACCTCCCAAAGCAATTTGCAGAAGGTAATTAAACTTAAACTTTAAATCATGTGGGCATCATTTCCCTCAAAGTTTCAAAGTGAACCACAGAGCTTTTGTGATCTGAGTGCTAAGACAGAACATAAAAGCCACAGGCGGGGATGTCTTTAAATTGCATCCTCAGAACAATGAAATGCAAAAGAACAGAAGAATGGTAGCAATTGGTATCCAGAAGCAATATCTTTTATAGCTGTTCCAAATCCATAGTGCAAGGATTGTGCTCTATCTACTCAAGTGAGTTGGCACGAAACTAAATGTGTAATCAGCCACATGCAAGGGTGTGAGACAAATGATAAATTTCCTGTTTTTCAGGACAAAGGCTGTCTTTTCCTTTGAAAGAGGCACAAGTTACCTTTATTAAAGACAACGTACTAAGTAAGCAAAGGAATTTTCTAATTCTGATAATGTGTCTCAAAGATGCCACTAGTAAGAAGTCACAAAGATAAATGGTGGTGTTTGTCCATTAAAAATATATTCAGCAGTTTCCCAACATTGTAGTCTTTTATTCTGTCATTTTAATACATTGATTAGTATTCTACCACCAGTTTCTAATTTACTACAACCCATTAGCTTCCAATTCAAAGGTTTCTTTGCTATTGAGAGGGAAAAATCTGAAGTGCGAGGCAGGTTAATAACAGACACACTCACACACGCATGTGGGTGGGGCAGGCAGCCGCTTCCACGCCGTGGTACGTGGAGCTTTTAAATCCCTGCTTTGCTTTTCACAAGCCAGTTCAGGCCTCTATCGTGCCTTCCACTCGCTGGCTGCAAACAGCAACAGCACAGACACCCATGCACGGTTACTGGCACCACAGAAGACAGTTCCCACCGCTTCTTTCCACTCAGCTGTAAATCCAGAACTACCCTGGCCACAGTGCATGGTGGGCCGAATGGGAAGATCCGTTCCTCCCTCCCTGCTGTGAGGACAACGGAGGAGTCACTTGCTCAGAGGCCACAGGGGAGAACAAGCGGCACCTGTACTCATTGCTGGGGGGGCAGAATCCCAGGCTGCCGGAGCTCACAGGCCGATGTGAAGGGAGCAGCTCCCCACACCAAGGGGGGAGGCAGAGGAGGCGGAAGCACACGTGTGGGAGCAAAGAAGTGAGGGTCAAGAGCAGGAGATCGGGGCTGCCAATTTGCCAATGCCACCATCTCTACCTGATTCCTACTCGATTCTCCAGGTTTTGCTTTTTAGCCAGAAACCAGGTCAGCTAAAGCAGCCGGTCAGGAGCACAGTTGGGATCTATTATCTATGCAGTTTCAATGTCAATGTAAAAATAGATTAAATGTAACAATGAAAAGTGATCGAACTATAGATGCTGTAACTATTTTTTTTTTTAAGCTAAAAGAAAACTAGATGCATTTGACTTATATGCACTGATCACTTGACAGCCGAGACATAAACAGCACAGGTATTTACCAATATGAAGATGCCTCAAAATACCTTTAAGTAATATAAATGCTATTTCAGGGCTGTCTGTTATATTGTTACCTACAGCTGCCCATGGGCTAACAGGCAGTGGGTTAACAACCAGAGGACAAATGCATTCACATATTTTTAACATCAGCCCTTGTTAGTATCAAGAGAAGGAATACAGAACAAGTACCCGGTATGAAAGGAAACCTGCTTCCCCAGGATCTCCATCTCAACCCCGACATTCTGAATTCCAGCTTTAGAGAACCATGAAATTCGGACTGGGAAAGAAATTTAAAGGTTCATTTATACATTAACCAACACTTACTTACAGAATAATAATTCTGTAACAGGAATAATTTTGTAAGTAATGCAGAGCACTTCCGGAGACCAGGCAAACTTCTCCTTACCATAGCAAATTCAGGAAGAGCAAAAATGGTCACAGGATTCATATTTAACATTAGAAATGGAAATAGCCATACTGAGTGCTATGGAAAAACATACATATCCCTAACAACACTGCCTACCTAATTTAAGGGCCAGTAGAAGTACCAGCTGGGATATTTCAGCAGTGGCAATTTCATAAATGAGCAGGGCGATCCCATAAATTCTCATCCTGAAATGAAGTAACAAGTAAATGGGCCTCATTTCCTCTGCTGGCGACACAGTGCTTGGCAGGGGTCCGACTCACCTTCTGGTTCTGGGGCACAGGAGCCCTGCCCGGAGTCTGTGGGGTCAGGGCGCAGACCTAGCTCAGCAGCACCCTCTGGGCCCCATTCCCTCTAGCTTGTATTTCAAAATCAATTTGTTTTCATATTCTGTTTGATTTTTCAGGAAACATCATGAAAAATGATGAATCAATATCCAGATTTGATACATGGACTACACGGTGAAGGCGCCTGGGCTGTGATGCCGGCGTTGTGGGGAGCAGCGGGGAGGGGGGGTGGAAAGGGACCCAGCAGTGAGTGGCTTCCCCTCTGGCTTACTCTCAGCCCAGTTACTCTCAACACATAAATAGCACCAAAAGAAGGGTATGTAGAATTTTTATGCTGATCAAAGCGAGCCTAGGATTACATGGAGTTGAGAAACACTAGGATAAAGAAATCTCTGTCCTTAAGAAAGCAAAACAGCAGCGCCCACCCGCTACCTGAAACAACTGGAGGCCCACTGCAAGGGAAGCCAGGTCCACCTGGCGCCAGCTCAGTAACAGCAGCTCTGCACTGGACGAGTCGGCCAGGCAGGGTTACCCTGCAAGGTTTTTTTGCCGCGTTCAGACCTTGCTGAGTTCTCTAAGTAAAAAGGGAGGAGGATCTGAAGGAGGAAAAGATCGTCCTGAAGGTCCTCTTAAAAAATAAGATGAACTGAGAAAGAATAAAATAACTTGAAGAAAAACCGAGCTGGTCAAAAGCCACCTGCCACTCACATAGAGGCCTGCGAAGGCTATGGCTCCTCCACACTGGCCAGATGCTTGCGAGGTCAAGTCTGGCAAGGAGTTATGAAGACACAGTGTTAGGGGAAAGGATGTCCTGAAGGAACTCTGCAGTTTTGTGGACTCCACCCCCTACTCCAGTAAACTATAACTCCCAGCAATACCGCGGAGAGAACTGCGAGGACCCAAGGGCACAGCTAAACAGGCATTCTGGGACTTTTGGAAAAAGAGGAAACCACATGAGATGCTCTCGCTTCTCTCTCTGGACTGCAGGGCTCTCTCCGGACTGTGTGGCTGGTTGCTTGGCTCTCGAGCTATCAGTGTGTTACTGGAGTTCCACGTCAGCGGAGCTGGTAGGATGTTCTAGTTAACTTGTATCTCTCTCTCTTTCCCTAGGTTGTTCCTTTTCCTTTCCCCTTTGTAAAT